CAGTCCGCGGGCCGGTTCTAATAATAAATCAATATCATCCCAGGGGCCACTGAAAACATTCTCGCGGGCCGGATTTAAACGTATTTGCAAGACTTTGACACATGTGTTGTAAGCTAAATGCTAAAAGCATCAGATTTGTTCCCCATCATGCCACGGATATTGACTTGCACAAGTAAAAAAAAATAATAATAATAATAAAAAATTATATATATTTTTTTTTTTACCATTTGGCCCACATTATACCAACATGTTCCAAAGTTAAGTAAGTCACCATATGTTTTTATTCGTAATTTTTCTGGTTTTATTATTATGTGTCTGATGCATTTTTTATTATTTTTTTTGCCTGATTGACTTGCGCATTCAAGTACCATGTAAATACGTTTAAACATATTTGCCGATCGAAAATGTTGACTCCACACTCCATAATTAAAACACGTGATAGTCTTTTTCAAACGTGAAACAAAAAAAATGCACGCCTCCTTCAAAGTTGTTGGGTAAGGATCCTCACACCTGGATAGAAGTTGCATGCACACACGCTTACACATTTTTATGCTTTGCTGGGGACATCAAAGTTGTTGGGTAAGGATCCTCACACCTGGATAGAAGTTGCATGCACACACGCTTACACATTTTTATGCTTTGCTGGGGACATCTGCTGGTGACGTACTGAAGTGGACCCAGTTTTTAAATCGCGATTGTAATCCCTCAGCTTTTTTTTCTCTTTTGGGGGAGGGGGGGTTCAGGTTTATTATTTTTCAGTCCACACACACACACACACACACACACACACACACACACACACACACACACACACACACACACACACACACACACACACACTCACACACACACACATACACATTCACACACTGTCTAAAACAGTTATGGTATTATGAATACGGCTGCTGAATTTTCCCTGCAGTGTTTCCACATAGAACCCCTGTCGTTGTTTTTCCCTCCTCTTTTTTTCCACTCTGTCCTTCCCCCACCATTCTCTCTTTCTCTTTCTCTCTCTCTGCCCCAACCATCATCCTCACCCCTTGTCAGAATCAATTTATAACTTCTATGTGTGGCCAGTGGGTTGCTATGTATAAGTAGTCTTAACCTCTCTCATTGGCTCTGACACACACACACACACACACACACACACACACACACACACACACACACACACACACACATGCTCACGCACTTTGATCCCTTGCCTTTCTGGTCATTTTAACTGAGCCATCCCTGAAATATTAACCTCTCCTCCCTGGGCCTTCATCCCTTTTCACTCCA